GGAAATATACTTAGCTGCTCTTGGGTGTAGTGTTCTGTATATGTCTATGAGATCAAGTTGGTTGATTGTAGCATTTAGCTCTTCCGTGTCTTTGTTGAGCTTCTTTCTGGATGTTCTGTCCTTCACTGAAAGTAGTGTGTTGAAGTCTCCTACTACTATTGTGGAGCTGTCTATCTCTCTTTTTCAGTGCTGTTAGAGTTTGTTTTATGTATTTTGGAGCCCTGTCGTTGGATGGATAAATATTTATTATAGTTATGTCATCCTGGTGTATTGACCCTTTAGTCATTATATAGTGTCCTTCCTTATCCTTTGTGGTAGATTTCACTTAAAGTCTATTTTGTCAGAGATTAATATTGCCACTGCTGCTCTTTTTTGAGTGTTGTTTGCTTGATATGTTTTTTTCCATTCTTTGAGTTTTAGTTTGTATCCTTAAGTCTAAGGTGTGTCTCTCGTAGGCAGCATATAGATGGGTCATTTTTTTAATCCAATCTGCTACTCTCTTTTTCTTTATTGGTGCATTTAGTCCATTTACATTCAGCGTAATTATTGATAGGTATGAGTTTAGTGCTGTCATTTTGATACCTTATTTTGTGTGTTGTTCACAGTTTCTTTGTTCCACTTAATTTTCTGTGCTGAGTCGTTTTTCTTTATTTTCTTTTTATCTCTTTCATTGTTGTTGGTTTTGTGTTTGCTGAGTCTTTATATTTCTCTAGTTTTTTATTTTGACTTGTAGGATTGTTAGTTTCCTTTGTGGTTACCTTAATATTTACCCTTATTTTTCTAAGTTGATACCAGTCTTTTGTTTCTTTATGTTGCCTTGACTTCCTGTCCATATGAAAAATTTATGTCTACATTTTTTAAGTTCCACTTTTTTGTTTTAATGTTGTCCTCTTTTACATATCAAAATCTGTTTCCATATTTTCAGTGTTTTAGCCTTGATTTACTTTTGTGACTTCCCTGTCTGGGTTGATATCTGGTTGCTCTGTCCTGTGTTCTAGTCTTGGGTTGTTATCTGATGTTAATGATTTTCTAACCTGAGGACTCCCCTTAGTATTTCTTGTAATTTTGGTTTGGTTTTTGCAAATTCCCTAAACTTCTGTTTATCTGGAAATGCCCTAATTTTGCCATCATATTTGAGTGAGAGTTTTGCTGCATATATAATTCTTGGCTGGCAGTGTTTTTCCTTCAAGGCTTTATAAGTGTCATCCCATTGCCTTCTTGCCTGCATGGTGTCTGCTGAGTAGTCCAAGCTTATTCTTATTGACTCTCATTTGTAGATGACTTTTCATTTATCCCTAGCCACTCTTAAAATTCTCTATCTTTGGTTTTGGCAAGTTTGATTGTAATATGTGTTGGTGACTTTCTTTTGGGATCTACCTTATGTGGGGTTCAATGAGCATTTTGGATAGATATCTTGTCATCTTTCACGATATCAGGGAAGTTTTCTGCCAACAAATCTTCAACAGTTCTCTCTGTGTTTTCTCTTATTCTCCCCGCCCCCATTCTGGTATTCCAATCACTAGTAGGCTATTCCTCTTGATAGAGTCCCACATAATTCTTAGGGTTTCTTCATTTTTTTAAATCCTTTTATCTGTTTTTTCTTCAAATAAGTTGGTGTCAAGTGCTTTATCTTCAGTCTCACTAACTCTGACTTGCATTACCTCAGTTCTGCTCCTATGACTTTCCATTGGGTTGCCTGATTCTGAAATGTTATTGTTAATCTTCTGGATTTCTGATTGCTGTCTCTCTATGGATTCTTGCAGCCTGTTAAATTTGTCATTATGCTCTTCTCTAATCTTTTTAATTTCCTCTATTACGTGTTCTGCATTTTGCTGTATTTCCTTCCTTATTTCTTGAAGAGTTCTGTACAGTAAGTAATCTTTGGTATTCTGCCTCTGCTAATTCCAAGAAATTTTCCTCCTCTGGAAAATTTCTGGATTCTTTATTTTGGGAG